GGGTTTGCGCATATGATCTGTTTGTAATTAATAGATGATTTAAAAAATCCTACTAGGAAGACCACAAAAACAATCAGATTATTATTAGGAATTAGGAATAATTACCTGACAGGAATCAATTCCTCCACCTAGATATCCAGCACAGATCATTGTAGGCAAAATCATGCCATTATAGATATAGACAGAATTACACCTAGAACGTTCTATTAAGGGCACCGTAACATAATTCAGGTTATTTGATGTTTTACCTAAAATTGAAATATGGACAAAAACACACATACAAAGACAAAATTAGAACAAGCTTCATATTACGTTGCTATTACAAATCCCAGCAGCTAGCGCTGTTCAAGATGAAATAAACTTACTAGAAACATTAGGATGGACACTTAAGATGTATGGTCCATCACACAGAGACAACTGTGACATTAAAACTCCCTTCCAAGAGGTCAGTGAGTTACCCTGCTTTGCTGTCAGTGTACTGTAAAGCAAGAGGACATGACACCTACCTGTCTACTCCAGCCCCAAATCAACTGTGTTATTTACAGGGCTACTAAAAGCACATGAAGTCTGTAAGAGGTGAAGAAGACCTCCCCATGGTTTCATGGTCCAGCACATTCCCATATTCAGGGTCCAGCTTCCGTGACACTCCCCCCCCACCCAGTACCTTCTCATACTGAAAGACAACGTTCCTCCCTTTCCTTTTCACTTCTTACAAATTTACTTCCATCATGCTATTGTAGCTTGAGGTGGTGGAAAGGACTGAGGTGTATTATAGCTTGAGGTGGTGGAAAGCCCTCCAAAGAGGGCTGGCTTGGCATACAGCTACCCTCATTACAGAAGAGGTGGCCCTGCTAGCAAGAGCACAGACTTGTTTCCTGTGTGAATGTTTCTGGCCCCTGGTACTGATTTGAGGCTCCTTTGCAACCTGCTGAATGCAACACATCACAACTTGCTTTGAGATGGAATGCCATGTGTAAATATTAGGGGCTGTAAAATGGGTGAAAAAATAGTATATCAACAGATCTAGCTCAAACTGCCCAATTAGCCCATGCAGCAATTATTCATAGGTGGAAGAGGACTGGTTTATATAGAAGAACAAAATATTCCAGAGCCACTCTTTACCTCCTTGGTACTCTGCTCCCCACCCAGATATCCAGCACTGCTGATTAGGCTGGAACATCATTCCTGGATTAGGCAGACAAACAGGCCGTACAGTATCTACAAAACAAAGACAGTAACGCATGCCAGATATCCAGGCATAATTCAAAATAAATGCATATGCAGTATCTCAGCATGACCACCACTGAAGTACATACATACACACCACGCATTGTCTCTGTACTTCACCTTCCTTGCAGATAAGCAATACTGTGCAATGCAGGCAGCAGCAGAAAGTTTACCAGCTGTCCTTTCCCAGAGGGCTACCTAATCTTCACCTCAAAGCGAGGAACAAACATACTTAATGGTTCTAGCTCAGGCTAACTAGAACAATTAACACCAGCTTTTCCGATCAGTAGAGGACAAAGGAGAAGAAAAACTTAAGACAACTACCTCCCTGCATTCTCTTCAAAAAACCCTGCTGAAAATAATCACAATGCAAGCAGGATTCAATGCCTATATACAAGAAGTGTAAAACACAAACATCTGGTAAACAGACAACCTCCCTGCTCTCAGCAGCAGAAGAGCCCCTCCAGTTTACTTCAGGTAGCTTTAACTGAAGCACTGAAATGCAAGGGACCTATACACAAAAAGCATTTAAAGTTTAAATAATGGTTTGTCCTCTATTCTTTACTGCTTGCTTACAACCTACATCTACTTTTAAGAAAGAAACTTCTTGTCATGTTGGGTTTTGGGGTTTGTTTTTTTTTCCCCATTTGTTATGTGACATAACTTCGTTTAGGATTTTAGTCAGCTGCTCCACTACTATATTCTGAGCCAACACATATAGAAGTGGCAATACTTAAGCACCGTAAAGCATTCTGGGGTCAAAGTACATTATTGAGAGAAGCCCAAACTCCCTTACCATGTACTAGATTTAAATAGATCCTACTTAAAATCAGACAGTGTGCCCTTTGTCTCTAGCTCTACCCTGTCTGTCTGTCTCTAAGGTGTCTCTACCCACACTTTGTGTTTTTCCCATAAGAATCTACAACGATTACTTGAAATTTCAGAGGCTTTAAAATATGTGCTCACTGCCTTTGGATTTTTGCCTTAAGAAGAACAGAATACATACCAGTAAAACTCAGCGGTGTCTCTAACTTCATAAGGGCAACATCATTGTCTTTAGAATCTGTATCATAATCTGGATGGGAAATTATCTGTTGCACCCTGTATCCATTTCTTAAGAGCATCTCATTCTGATTCAGAATCCCAGCATAAACCCTCCAGCTATACGGGTCAGAAAATCGTCTACATTAAAAAAAAAAAAAAGTTTAGAAAGTTTGCTTCTCTAGTAACAAATCACAGATTATGATCTTCAAAAAATTGTCTTCAGAGATGTGTGACCAAGAACGCACATTTATGAAGAACAAGGTAAACAAACTGCAAAACAATTAACTTCAAGAAAGCTTGACTCTAATTTCATAAATATATCAAAAAAATCTTCAAAATGGGTTAAGTATCACTGTCTATCCCCTTAGTCACTCAGCACAGCAAATTATAGTCTGAGACTGCAACACTGAAGTCCATTGATTTCCATGGCTGAGGGATCAAGTAGTTATTTCTGAGGTCTCACATGTCAGCAGTATCACTCACGTGTAAAAGCACGCAAGGGCAGCAGAAGCCAGAATTACTAAAAACATGTATTAATGAAGGAGTTTCACTGTCTTCAAAATGCCAATGTTTTGTTTGGTTGGTTTTAGTTTTTGGTAGCTTTTTTTATAATGTTAAGCATGCTCACTAGATGTAATTTAAGTA